TAAAAGCTGCATCAATTTATACGCGGTAGTGATGGAGGATGACAGCATTCCGAAAATTACATCTACGGATCCTACAGTTGCAGAATTGCCACGAACGAAGAAGGTCATCTCTAACAAAAGCTACGTAAGTTTTGCCGCGGTAATATATATATATACAGCCATTCCATAGTAAAACGATATAGTGGTTCTCAGATTTTTGTAACAATTGGTAGTTTTGTTCCTTATCGAAAAATATTAGATTCGTATTATTTTATTTTATTATTAGGGTGACCATTTCCATGGGTGGTATAAAAATCGATTTTATTCTTTTTTTTTTCTACAAAAATGAAATTTTTTTAATCATTACTTTTGAACCACTTTTTCGCAATGTTCTCAGATTGTTGCTCCCCAACAGAAAATCAATTCCTATATACCCCAATAGCCTCTGTGCAAATCAACCTGGCCCAAGCGCTTGCGTGAAAAAAAAATGACTTTTTGACTAATTTTCAGCGATTGTAACTCATAAAAAAAAACTATAAAACTATTTCAAACAAATGTTTTATGGCTTCTGCAAAGTCGCAGAATCACTTCTCTGAAAATAGTAGGTGCCTAAAATGATCGAACAAATCACTTTACAGCAAAACTTTGATCTCTAGGGGCTACGTAATTATAAACTACAACTTTCGTGCTAATATTCCTTGGCTGTAAAGCGTATAGTTTAGCCGTTAATTCAGTTCTTTTAGATTCACATTTAGCATACTTGATCGGAGATAAGCTTGCATGCAAGTTGCAGTATCGATGTCAAAATAGCATAATCTAATTACTCCGTATGAATGGCATGTGATATGTGCGCATGAGAATGATGTGTCCCACATATATAAACTATACGACGAATCTAATTGCAAAATCTATGTGTGGGCTATATTTTGATTTTGCGAGATAGAAGGGGGTTTGTCTTAAGAAGGCCAAATCTCAAGTCGCAAGGCCACACCCCAAAACGTGAGTGGACCATGGTGATCATGTTAAACTATAATGTCTAAAATGGACAACATGCCCCAAACAACCCAAGAACGGCTCCTATACACTCTCCATGCTGAATCGTGAGTCCCCACTTTTCCCATATCATTGCATGTAAAATAATAACTCAATACAGGTCAATTGCATATGCCTAAATGTATTAGTTGCAATGATAATAACAGTATAATATACTAGTTGAATAAAATGAATATTTACCTGTTAATAATGATCGAGATTGGTGAAAAATAAAGAAAGTTGAATTTACCATCACAGAGTTTGACAATAGCGCGATGGTATATTATTATGATACTAATGATACGAATCCTGGGAAAGCATCATCCTCCCTCCCCTTGGCTGGTTTATGCACCTTGCTGTTGGTGGGCGAGCTTAATTTCATGCTTTTTAGTGGAGTGTTGGAGACGGTAGGTTTATGACCGACGTTGCTGGCTCATGCCGCGATAGAATGGCGCCATGGGCATGCAATGGGGATTACTAAGCTTCCCCTCTCTGATAAACCACTGCACTGCTGGTTGAAGCATAACTGTCCCATGTTACAAAACACAAAAATGAGAAAACTGCAGTTAAAGATTGAACAGACGTTTTGCTGCTATCGTAAAATTTCACGGAAAAATTTGGTTGTGCTTTGAAAAACTGACACAATACAACTATTCCATAGAAAGTTTGTCGATATTTTGCATAAAAAGAAATTTTTCCATTACAAAATCTTCTGTGACACTTATGCTGCGAATTTCTCTGACGAGTTGAAAAATATACGCACGGAAAGCCCTTAAGTATGGGATCCCGAAAAAGAAGAAAATTGGAAGACCATGCTTCACATGCAAAACCAGCGCAAGGCACGATGTAGAAGGAAGCGGTCGATCGGCGGATTATTGGCAAAAGGTGGCTAATAACTAAAGCGAGTTTAAAACAGCCACGACAAGATTGTTCACTTATATGGTGGAATAAGAATACGAAGACTTGGAAGATACTCTCAGTGATTCAAGTTAACCAGTGCCCTAACGGAGACGAAATAACTCTAGGAGTTAAAGTCAAGTAAATGTTAATGCCTCAGTGATTCAAGTAGCGATGATCAACTGAACATCCCGGATTTCAGAGGTTTCTCTAACGACGAGGATAATGCTTTCCCAGGATTCATTTTCATTTCATTTTCATTTTGCAGCGTTTGGTGGGGCAATGGGAGCGCAAGTCAATCCAAAGCCGAGGATAAAGGAAGGGTAATGGCTGAATAGTCTATGCGGACCACTTGAGCGCTATGGGAAGGGATTGTAGAGGTTATTGAGGGGTTTTGAGGAAATGACACATAGTACTAGATTTGTGCTGCAAAATGTAAAGAAACCGAAAATCCATCTCCCACCCATTCATCCTTTCACATAAAGGGTGATACGGTCAAAATTTGGTCAATATCAACTTGACGTATTTCTTTCAATTTTGCATTTAAAAAACCTGAACACCCCTCATTTTGAAGGTGTGTGTGTGTGTAGAATGTTGCTCCTATTTTGATTTTGGAATTCACTCTTCAGTTGTCAAAATGCCGTCCAAGCAAGAAGAGCAGCGTATCAAAATTTTGCTCGCGCATCGCGAAAATCCGAGCTACTCGCACGCAAAGTTGGCAAAATCGCTAAAAGTTGCCAAATCAACCGTTACAAATGTAATTAAAGTGTTTGGGGAACGTTTGTCGACAGCCAGGAAGTCTGGATCGGGGGAAATCGAAAACCGGAAGTCGCTGAGACGACAAAGAGAGTTGCCGGTAGTTTCAAGCGAAACCCTAACCTCTCTCTCCGAGATGCCGCAAATAAGCTGGGTGTATCGTCTACAACCGTGCATCGAGCCAAAAAACGAGCCGGACTATCGACTTACAAGAAGGTAGTGACTCCAAATCGCGATGATAAACAAAATACGACGGCCAAAGCGCGATCCCGGAGGCTGTACACGACGATGCTGACGAAGTTTGACTGCGTGGTAATGGACGACGAAACCTACGTCAAAGCCGACTACAAGCAGCTTCCGGGACAGGTGTTTTATACGGCAAAAGGAAGGGGAAAGGTAGCAGATGTTTTCAAGCACATGAAACTGTCAAAGTTCGCAAAGAAATATCTGGTTTGGCAAGCCATCTGTACCTGTGGCTTGAAAAGCAGCATTTTCATAGCTTCCGGGACTGTCAACCAAGAAATTTACGTGAAAGAGTGTTTGAATAAACGTCTGCTGCCTTTCCTGAAGAAACACGGTTGTTCCGTACTGTTTTGGCCGGATTTGGCATCTTGCCATTACGGTAAAAAGGCCATGGAGTGGTACGCCGCCAACAACGTGCAGGTGGTTCCCAAGGACAAGAACCCTATACTGGGCTATACTGAGAAATACTGGGCTATTGTCAAGCGGAACCTAAAGAAGACCAAAAAAACTGCTAAGGGCGAGCAGCAGTTCAAGGCAAACTGGCTTTCTGCGGGGAAGAAGGTGGACAAGGTGGCTGTACAAAATCTGATGGCAGGGGTCAAGCGTAAGGCCCGGCAATTCGGATTTGGAAAAGCGGAAGCCTAACTGAATATTTTTCCTGAATTTTATACTAATTGAACTTGAAAAAGAAATTTAATTTGATTTTTTAAATAAACGATTTCACCGATTTACACGCGTTTTCCCTTGACCAAATTTCGACCGTATCACCCTTTATATACCAAATTGCTATTTTAAAGCAACCATCAAAATAAACAGACAATATATGAAAAGGCTAGTTGCCAGTTGCTTAAAAGGCTAGTTGCCTCCCTAAGCGAATCCCCCGCATCCTAACTCTTTTGTTAATCTACTTAATGTTATAAGGCTGTCTAAATTTTCGTATTTAAGTTCGTTTGATGATTATAATATCTCATTAGCCTAATTTAATAATTGAAATCTCTAATCTACCTAATCAATTATAACCCATGCTTTATTAAGTACCTGGACTTGTGTATGTAATCTAAAATTTAACGTGTATCAAGTTGTTTTTGTCTTTGACCTATATTTATTATATATTATTTCGTCCCAGGTGACACCTTAAAGTGACTAAAATGCTTCACTTTGAAGATAGTTTACTAACTGTTTTTTTTTTTAATTATATAGGGTATATCCTCCAACTACGCTCACACGTTTCCACTATGTCGTTCCTCAATTTTTTTTTTCAGATATTTTTTCTAAATTTTTAAATTTTTTTTTTGGGTTTTAGAGGTTCACATAGAACAAAAATCTTTTCTGAATAAGGTCCAATTGATAAAAGTAAGTTTTGTCCATTTTTCAGGTCTCTAGAACGCCCGCCAATTACCAATCCCCACCGGAGGCGACCTCCTTCTGATGTGACCCCAAAGAGCCACATAGGTCACACACCAATGTAGAGGAAGAGTTAAGCAATTTAATGCAAAAAACGTTTGCGTTGTTTCATTTGCTCATAAAAAAATTCCGAAAATCGTCGATTTTTTGACGTGTTACTTGTATTTCCCCCCTTAAGAAGTTTTTCTCTTCTTTTTATATACGCGAAAGAAGATTCCAGGAATAAACAAAAATAGTCAACCTAATACATGGCATGCTTTTCTGGGGAATGGTTCATTCTGGGGAATGGTGCATTCTGGGGAATGGAATTCTGGGGAATGGTTTTCTGGGAAATGTTATAGAATCAGTAAATGCACGCACTTCCGTAATTCTGCAAATCATAATGGATCATAATTTTAAATAAATATGACTTTCAAATATTATCGTACGAAGAAAATTTTCTTCAAATTGTTCGAAAAAACTAATAAAATTAAAAGGATCAACGATTTTTATTTTACGGATTAGTTCGGTAACAAATTACTTAATCGTTGAAAAAAAAAACCGCCGAACCGTTCGGTACTTTTGTCATTTCATAAAATAAACCGTTAACCGATTGTTCGGTAGTCATTTAGATTACCGAACGTTCAGCTGTTGAAAGTTCGGTAACAAAAATTACCGAATACGGTAATAATTTCTAAGTGTGTATACAGTGTATCTCAAAATTGATTGTACACACTAGAAAATATTTTTTTTTAACATTGTGAATAGATGTATTTTTTTAAATCATGGCTGGTGATTGAACAGATGTTTATTGATTTATGAAGTTAGATTTGA